TCTCCTCTTTTTCCTGTGCGTGTATTTGAGTACAGCAAGAAGTATCATGACTTACAAAATTAGTCAAATTTTCAGTTTTCTGAGTAGCTAAATTTATGTGTTGTTTAAGATATATAGAAGTTTCCTGCGAACTCTACTGGATATGTAAAGAGAAATATATATACACACACACACACACACACACACACACACACACACACACACACACACACACATATATATATATATATATATATATATATATATATATATATATATATATATATATATATGTACATGTACATATATATATATATATATATATATATATATATATATATATATATATATATATATATATATATATATACACATATTTATTTATTTATATTATATCTCTCTCTTCCCTCGAGTTAGTCTCTATCTAGACGCAAATGGCCAACGTACATGGAGTAAATTATTATAAAAATCATTACTAATATTATTATCAGTATTACTATTGTTGTCGTTGGTATTATTTCTATCATTATTATTATTACTATTTTTTATTACCATTACTCTAAATATTGTTATTGCTATCATTATTATAATCATCATTATCATTCTTATTCTCATCGTTACTTTTATTGTTATCATTATCATTATTATTATGATCTTTATTATTATTATTGTTATTACTATTATTATTACCATTATTACAATTACTATTATTATTACTATGATTATTGTCATTATTGTTACCATCATCATTATTATTACCACTACTAATACAAAATAATATCGTTTTAGCTTCAGTATTATCACTATTTAGCCATTATCATTATTATCATTACTATTATAATAATTTTCTGTTTTATTGTTGCTGTTGCTGTTCTTATTATTCTTATCATTATATTTCATGCCGCTGTTATCATTATTATTACCATTATTATTATCATCATTATTATCACCATTATTGTTATTATTTTCTAATTAATTTTATTTACATCATTATTTATTATAATTATTATTATTACTATTACTATTACTATTACTATTACTATTACTATTACTATTACTATTACTATTACTATTACTATTACTATTACTATTACTATTACTATTATTATTATTATTATTATTATTATTATTATTATTATTATCATTATCATTATCATTATTATCATTATTATTGCTAATATTAATATTACTATTACTGTCATCCTCATTATCATTATGATTGTTATCATTATTATTAAAATATCTATTACCATCGATATCACCACTCCTATTAATATTATCATTATACAGATAATGATAATAGGGATAACGTAATGGCAATAAAGATAATAATAATAGTAATAATAATGATGATAATAATAAAAATAACAATAACAATTATGATAACAGTAATAATGATAATGATAATAACATAACAATGATAATAGTAATGATAACAATGATAATAGTAATAATAAAAATGATAATAGTAATGAATATGAGAATGATAATAACAATAATAATATTAACAATAACAACAACAACAATAATGATAATGATTTTAATAATAATAATGAATAATAATAATAATGATGATGATGATGATGATGATGATGATGATGATGATGATGATGATGATGATGATGATGATGATGATGATGATGATGATGATAATAATATTAATAATGAATAATAATAATAATAACACGTTGATAATAATGGAAATAATGAAAGAAAGGAAGAAATGAAGAAAATAAAAAAATTAACAAGTGAAATGCAGGAAGGAAAACAGAAAAAGCAAAATAAATATGATAAATATAACAAATGCAAAAGGACAAAACGAACGTAAAGATTTGGGGTAAAATGGACAACAAAACAAGGGCAAGAACAGCAAGAGTGAAAAGAAAAGAAAGAAATATTGAAAAAAAATAGAGGAAAAGTTTTTAGAGACATCAAAAAAGGAAGTATACTAAATGGATAAAACAGAGGAAGAGAAAAAAAAATTAAGAAATTTAAGTAAAACAAATAAATATTTATAGAATGAAAAATAGACGTTATTATTAAATAAGGAAGTAAAACGATCTAAAGAATAGAAAATATTTGGATAATAAATTGAAAAATCGAAATGAAATGAAAGAAGAAAGGGGAGACCACAAAGATACAAAGGGTTAAAATTAAATAGTAAAACAATGTTAAAAAATGGATTTCTTGCAAGAAATAAGTATTGCAAAATTTAAATATTACAGTGGGTCATTTGCAGGGAATCAATCCTATACAGAATGTATATAGAAGTATACTGCGGACGTAGTTGACAAGAAAAGGAGAGAGAGCGAGAGAATAAAACAAAAATAAATATAGTGAGCAAAATATGTCGGAATAAAAAAGGAAAAGGTTAAAGCGAAAATTGAGGTAAGAAAGGAAGAAAATAAAGAGAACAAGTGGAATGCAGGAAAGAAAACAGAAAGAGCAAAATCAATTTGATGAACACAACAAATGGAAAAGGACAAAATAAACGTAAAGATTTTGGGGAAAAATGGACAGAAAATACGACAGAACAATAGCAACAGTAAATGAATAGTGAAAAGAAAAAAAAGCAATCATGAAAACAAATTATTAGAGGGAAAGGTTTTTAGAGACATTTAGAAAGGAAGAATACGAAATGGATAAAACTGAAGAAAAAAGATAGGGTGGTAATATAATAATTTTTTTGTGTAATGTGAAGGGGAGAACGAGATGGAAAACAACTCAAAATTTAATGAGAAAGTAAAACAGATAAACAAACAGATAAGCAAAAAATGCCAAATACTTTGATAATAAAAAATAGAAAAATCGGAATGAAATGAAAGAAGAAAGGGGAGACCACGAAGATATAAAGGGTCAAAATAAAATATCATCAGAAAAGCAATAACAAAAACCAAAATTGTCGATTTCTTGCAAGAAATAAGTAAAGCAAAATGAAAACGATATTACAGTGGGTCATTTGCCGGGAATCGA